TCTTTGACTCACATCACTGTATTTCATACAGGGTTGTGTCCCCTTTTACTCGCCCGTCTGGCAGAGGTCTCTGGCAACGTGGAGAAGCAGGAAGTATTCCTTGTGCAAGATGCTGACCACATTTGTGCAGAGACGGTCTACTCCAACTGCTGTAAGGTCATACGGCTTCAGCTGCTGATGAGTCATTTAACAACCCCTCTGCATCTGAACCCATGAGGGAATCCCCCTCCAGTCCCACGATCTCAACTGACATGCCATGCCTTCCAAAAGCGCTCTTTCACTGCTCTGACCTGTCATTTTCCTATTTTCCTGTCCTTTTTTGGGGGAGGGGGGACAGGGACTAACATGCTGAGTAATAACATTACTGGCTGTTTGTTTTTTTTTTTAAATTTAAGGCTTAAAAAAAATCTAGTTTTCTTCAATGTGATTATAATGATCTGGAAAGTAGGGACAGTCTCTTTTGAAGCGTGTGCTATAGATTCTGTACACTCAGGACAGTGTCATAAAGAGTCAGGAAGCATGTTCATGAAGTGATTGCTAAATGGGCTAAAAGATTTATCTAAAGTTCGAAGGACTAGATTTGAATCTGGGCTCTGCTGATGAGAGATCATTAAATGATGCTGATCATTTAATTTCACTCAACTGCTTTTTTTTCATCTCTGACATGCGGTTACCATATTTATCCTGAAGAAAACTGATATTGGCAGCAGACCTCTCCTTTCTCACCTGCTGCTTCTCTTAGCAATGTATTTCAACAAATCTGCCTTTCTGTTCTCCACTCTGTTTCTGGTGAATTCTTTCACCCCAGCACACACAAAAAATAAACAAACAAAAAAAAACCAAACTGATATTTATCAGACCCTTACTATGATGCACCAGCCATTGTGCAAAGTGATTTAAGGGTATCAGCTCATTTAATTATCATACCAGCCTTCAGAAGTCAATGCTAGTATTACACCATTTTACAGATAGGGAAACTGACATTCAGAAATGTTCACAGATGCTACATAACTTGCTGCAAATCTTATAATAAAGAGAGGAAGAACAGAATTTTATTATTAAAAAATAACTTTATTATTATTATACTATACTATTATTATATTATATAACTTTATTATTAAAAAATAACCCCTGGTGGCACAGGGGTTAAAGTCTTGTTTTATTTGCCAGCCACTGAGGCATGAGTTTGGTCCCCGGCCAGGTAGCTGACCCAAATGGCACAGCAGACCTCTCCTGTCTCACCTGCTGCTCCCCTCAGCAGTGTATTTCTGTCAGTCTGCCTGTTCTGTTCCCCACTCTGTCTCTGGTGAATCCTCTCAACCCCCCTCACCTCTGGCCTACACCCCAGTTCTTGTATGCATAAATAAATAAAAATAAATCTAAAAAATAACTTTATTTAAATAAGAGTTTTAAATACAGGCAGTCTAGCACCAGACATACCTACTTAACTATACTGCTTTAATGCCTGCAGTTTATAAGCTCACAATTGCAAGGAAGCACTTGAGTCAATATACATGAAACTACTTTGTATATTTGAGATGCAATGTGCTACTGTTACTTGGGTGGACAGTCAATAAATGCATGAGTTGAATTGTGAGCTGGTACAAATATGTTTTATATAGTGTACTTTCTAGGTGCTTGATACTTTTCAAAATGCTTTCATATATTTCTCCCTCTGAATAATGAGCCACTTTAAATCCATTTTGGAAGAACTCAAGTCATAAATAAATATTCGACAGCTAAGGAAACGGGTCCAGAGATGTTGAAAACCTTTCTCAGGTCACAAAGAATAATGTCCAGCGAGGCCTGGGATCTGGTCCTCTCACCTTACCAGTGCTGCTTCTGTTTGTTTATTTATTTATTTTTGTTGATGTTACAATTTGTTGAAATGGAAGCACTAAAGTTATCAATAATAAACAAAACCATAAAAATGATGATCTTTTCTCACAGCCATTATCTGTAGGTATAAGTTTGTTTAATCCTTCCATGTTATTGCAGTTTTAAAACAAAAATCTCCTTTAGCATTTGGATAAAACTGCATTATCTTTAAAGGTCTTTCTGTTCAAAATGTAAAAATTCTCTTTTCAAATAAAAGCATAATACAATGTTCATTTCAAAAACGAAACATAATAAAGTAAAAATCCTCTATAATTCTACCACCCAAAGTTAACCCTTTTTATTTTAGTTTTATCCTTCAACTTTGTTCTAGGTATGTATACATTCTTTATAAACAAATTGTCTAATATTGTTTCACAATGTTTTAAAATGCCATACCAAGATAATAAAGTTATCGTTTAATTTTTGTGGTTGCATGGTATTTCACTTTGTAAATGTACTGTAATTTATTTATCTGGAATTAGGGATTATGTTTGAGTAGATGGGGAGGAAGGAAGGCTTTCCAAATGTTAATCGCTAGCCATGGAAACCAAAGATCCCAAAATGATGACTATGCTACATGTTGGGTCAGTTGCTTTTCATTTTCAATTGCACTGGGAAAGAGGTTTGTTAATTATAAAGCTAAATATAAGTAAAAAACTATGTGGAGGGAGATTACATTTTATAATGTCTGCGATTTTCTCTCATGTTCTGACATTTGCTTTAGTAGAAAAAAAATCTCATTCCTCTCAAGTGATGGTATAACTTTTCCTTGGTGGTTTGCAATGGTAAACCTTTAACTTTGAACTCTAAACACATTTTTGTGATGTTCCAAATGGAATACTTTAGCAGGTTGCTTTGCAACTTGCATTTTTTTTTTTTATGGAAATTGTACTTTAGTACATGTTCATGCATAGCCATAGTTCAGAGGAATGCAACTTATGGCATTATGGTGACATTCTAGTTTCTTTTTTCTTTTTTTATTTATGCATACAAGAGCTTGGGTAGAGGCCAGAGGTGCGGGGCCGGGGGTGGTGGTAAGAGGATTCACCAAAGAAGAGTGGGGAACAAAACTGGCAGACTGACTGAAACACACTGCTGAGGGGAGCAGCGGGCAAGACAGGAGAGGTCTGCTGCGCCATGAGGGTTGCTCCCTGGCCGGCTGGGGGTCGAACTCATGCTGCAGAGGCTGTGGCTTGCTTCATAGTGCTGTGCTTAACCCCTTGCGCCACCCGGGAGCCCTTAGTTTCTTTTTTTAAAAGTTTGTTTATTTATGAATACAAGAGCTGGGGTGTAGGCCAGAGGTGGAGGGGGAGGAGTGAGAGGTTTCACTAGAGAGTTGGGAGCAGAACGGGCAGATTTACTGAAATACACAAATACACTGCTAAGGCAGCAGCGAGGGAGACAGGAGAGGTCTGCTGAGCAATGTGGGTCAGCTTCCTGGCCCGGGTTAGAACTCCTGCTGCAGTGGCGATAGCTTGATAGTGAAAGCCGTGTCTTTGACCCCTGAGCCACGAGGGAGGTCCTGACATTCTAGTTATTACCAGCTGTGTGATCCACAATAGAACATGAAGAGGTAAGAGGGGACGGACTACCCTAATTCCCCAAACCATCTGCTCTGGGTTGATTCCACCCTGAGTGTGGTGTGGGGATGGGGGTGGGGGTGCACTGTTAGTTTGTTTTTTTAAATATATATATATATATGTTTTACATCATTGTTCATTTTTTTTAAAGATTTATTTATTTATAAGCACTGGGTACAGTCAGAAGTGCGGGAGGGTGAGAGAATTCACCAGAGCCAGAGTGGGGAACAGAACAGGCAGACTGATGAAGTACACTGCTGAGGGGAGCAGCGGGCGGCAGGAGAAGTTTGCGCGCCATGTGGGACCCTCGCAGGTGGCCGGAGATCGAACCGGCACTCAGAGGCTGCGGGCACGCCCAGCACGCTCAACCGCTGCGCCACCAGGGGAGGCCCTCATTGTTCATTTTTATACAATGTTTGATTTCTCCTCTCAGGTGTAGTTCCTGTAAAATTCCAACCATCATTTTTTTAAATGTAAAATATGACACCATATAGCAGAACCTCAGTGGGGGGAGTAAAGAGGGGATCTTTCAGGAAGTTAGTTTTTCTGAGCCTCAGCCTCATTTGTAAAACTAAGTTATTTATCCTTGCTTAGTCCGACAGAGGAGAATCAAATTAGATTATAAAAAATAAACAATGTGATATCAACATTTGGTAAGTAAATATTTTAATACTATTACCTTTTGGCTTCCTTTCTTTCCCACCATTTGGCATGTTCCAGTAGTAAAAGAACAAATTGTACAGGTAGGCCTACTCAGTTCGATTTTTTGTAAAAAATTTTGAAATTTACGCATAAAAGTGACAAAGGGAAGAAGTGCAGCCTCCTATTTATGACAATCAAGAGCTACGCTCACGATTTGTGATCAGTTTCATATCCTTTGGCAACCAGATGGTATTTTGCTTTATTCACTTTTGGGAGCACTTTACTGCCAATCTACTTAAAGGATGTTCGTTTATGTAGTCCACTTTTCCTTTAAATGGGTCAAGTTCACATGGAAAATATTCGTGTCAAGGATTAGTAATTATTTATCAAGCCAGCAGCTGTCTGATTTGACTTTCTTTGGCGCAAGTCATTAGTTCATGGAGTCAAAAGGACAAAGCCCCCTTTAGAAGGCTTTTAGCTATCGCTTCTCCAAATCCTTAGTTTTCACATACGAGGAAACTGAGGCCCTGGAAGTTTAATGACTTGCCCAATGCACAAGGTTGACCTGTGCTGCTGGGTTTGGAATCCATTCCGCAAAATCCTCCCTTTTTATAAAATACGTTGCAAAGGACCGTAAAACCACAGAATCCCGGGTCACTTGGGGCTTGTTCCTGAAGTTAAAGAGAAGCTAAAGTCTCAAAGGTGATAGGACATTTAGGGATTCTCGCGGATCGGGGCCGGCTTCGTCGGGCTCCGCGTTCCCCGCCCCACCTCCCTCGCCTCTCCCTTGGCCGGCGCTACCGTGCTAGCCCCGCCCCTCTCAGGTGGCCCCCGCCGCTCCCTGGTGGCGCTGCCTACTCCCCCAGCGGAACCAATGTCCTTCGGCCCCGGGGTCGGCCGGATCTTTCTCACTCAGACTCTTCGCAGCGGTGACTCGGCAGCTGCGTCTCGCGTCATCAGTGACAGCCCCGAACCCTTGCTACGCTTTGCGTCGCTTTGCCAGGAGCAGTCACCTCCTCCTTGGTAAATAGTCCTCGGCGGGGTCCGAGTTCTTGTATAACAGGAAAAGGGGGACACGAGGAGTTGCAGTGAGCAGACGCGGAATCGGCAAGGAGAGGAAGATACGGCCGAAGTTTCTGTGCTTGTGTGTGAAGTTAGTTAAAAACTCCCTCCCTTCCTGAGGATCCCTCCGCCTGCAGTAGCGGTGGTGAGGCCGAGGGAGCCGCCATTTTGGATGTTCGGTTCCTGCTGCCACTGCTGCCGCCGCCCCCGGAGCTGCTGGTTTCATTCGAGGTTTCGGGCCGGTGAGTGTCACTCGCGGCGCGGAGAGCATACTGCTTCTTCAGCCCCGCGCCTGCCGGGAGCGCCCGGCCGGAAGCTCCCTGTCATTCCCGGAGGTCCGGTCCCAGGCTGTGGGGGGTGAGGAGCGAGGACAGAGGCTGGGCCAGGAGGGGCCCGGAGCCCCAGGGGCTGCTCTGACTTTCTGAGGGCCGCCTCCGAGGCCTCGGGCCGGGAGGGTCCGCGCGCCGCTGCGTTCCGTGCTGTGGCGTTGCCCGGCTGGTGCGGGCCTACTTGGACCCATTGACTTTCTCCGTCCGTCTGCGAGCCTCCTTTGAGGACTCATTCAGGGAGCCGGGGCTAGCGGGGCGGGTCCCACCCCCGCGTGTCCTCTTGCAGCCACGTACCAGCGTTCTTGCGTCCTGGACCTGGGTCTCTCGCAGAACTCTCTCCTCCAGCGCGTCCAGACGCTCAGTTAAGCGCTGTCCGCCCCTGCGGTGCCGTCTCTCGGAACCGGACGTCGACCTCGCCTCCCTCTAGCCTTCCCATCAACTTCTTCCCCAAATTTCCCTTTATTTTTTTTTTTAAACCTCACCTGCAGATACACAGCCTACCCTTCTTTCAAACTCCTGGTCTTGCGCACCTCAGTTTGCAGTAATTTCTCCCGAGCTCTTCCTGATTGCCTGAGAGTCGGGCCGGTCGGTTGTTTCCCTGTTAGGGTTTGGTGTAGGAGATCGGGCGAACCCCTCGCCCGGAGTCTGCTTCAGCAGTAAATGTTTATAAAGAGGCTTAAGTGGCGTTTTTGACGGGGTTGGGGGGGGGGCGGGTAGGAAGGAAAACTGTCAAATGTGTTCCCATTTGTGGATTCCCTTCATGTGCGGAACACTTTTTGTTATTTATTGGCACGTATTTCTGCTGGTGTTTTATATCACCGGGCATTGAAATCTGCTTGTGAGGATGAATATTAGTCTGACGTAGATAGAAAGGAAAGTAACTTTTTTTTTTTTTTTGGCTGCTTCAGGGATTAGTCAACAGACGAGAGGTGTGAATGATTTCTTAGTGATCTTAACTTTCAGACGTTGTACAGCGACGATCTTTGATTCTAAAAAACACTTGGATTGACTTCGTGTATTAGGTTTTTTGTGGAAATAGGTGGATTTTAAATATTCCCTTCCACTGCTCCCGGTAATGCTGGTCATGCTATATATACCATAACTTTTGAATACAGACTCTCCAGGTACCCATACTCTCACCGTCTTAATTCCACTCTTAAAGTAAATTTGCATTATAACATGCTTGAATAAAAAGTATTTCACAGTTAATTCCCTGAGCATTTCTTACAAATCAAGTTAGGTGACTATGATTAATCATTTCTATTTCATCATGGCCTGGGTTTTTATATTTGAAAAAGAAATAATTTATTTAATATTACAGTCTAGTAACTGCTGAAATTTAAAATTTTTACCTTGAGCTGGATCAAGTCTTTTAAGACTTCTAATTGATGTGTAAGGACATTATTCTTATCATCAGGTTATCAGGTAAACACGTTCCCTCTACTGGTCCTGTGATTTCTCAGTGGAAGATGGATTGTTTTAACTGTAAATAGTCAGTGTTCTTGTTACTTGTTTTAAGGAGGCTTTCAAAAATTATTAGTTGCTATTTGTGTATTTACTCTGAAGGTATGGAGTTTATCTTTTGGTTTAAGAAAATTGTTAAACACTAAACATTTATGGAATGCTTGCTTATGTACTAAGTATCCCTTTGTATTTAGTGTTGAAATGTTCCATTTCTAAGTTACACTTTTAAAACAAGGTATTTATTGAAAGAGCTACCAGCAGGGATATTTAACTCAGTGCATTGCATGGTATAATGTCTTGGTAGTTATGTGTCATTTGTTCTTAGATGGTTTGCATTCAGTTGGATTAAGTGTTCTTTTGGGCCTCCCGGTGGCGCAGAGGTTGAGCGCTGGGTTGCGAAGCCGCCCGCGGCCTCTGCGGCGCCGGTTCGATCCCCGGCTGCTCCCCGGCCACCGGAGGAGGGTCCCACATGGCACGCAGACCTCTCCTGCCACCCGCTGCTCCCCTCAGCAGTGTGCTTCAGTCCCTCTGCCTGCTCTACTCCCCACTCTGGCTCTGGTGAATTCTCTCACCCTCCCGCGCTTCTGACTGTACCCAGTGCATGTATAAACAAAACAAACAAACAAACATAATAAATAAATAAATAAAAACATGCCTCTATTAAAAAAAAAAGTGTTCTGCCTTGCAGATTACAAGCAAAGTGCTATTCAGTGCACCTTTGATCAGTACATACTTGAATGTCTAATAGTTTGTAAAAGTTGTTGGAATTATACTTGACATTAACATTATTGTTTAGCAAACCTGAGTTAATTTTCTTTTGATTTGTTTCATGGCAGGTCTTGATTTGAGAGTACATTTTAGAATCAAACTATGAAGTACAAAAATCGTAGCTGTGCTTAGGTGATATTTCATCCCACTATTTATGTTAAAAAGTATTCTTGAAATCAGTGGTATGCAAAAGTTCAAAACTGTAATTTTTCTTAATTATAGTAACTATACAAATTTAAAAAGTTGAGTATTTTCCAAAAGATTACTTTAAATTAAAAAGTTGAATTAGGAAACTACATACCAAAACAGATTCTTGAAACACTTAATCCTCTTATTTGCATTTGATGAGGATTTAAAAATTTTGTGTATATAGCAGAGCTTAATAATATCAAAACTAAAAAATTTATTTAGCTTTACCTTCAGAAAATCTAAAACTATTATCTTCAAACCACAGCTACATGTTTAGCTATTTTTAGTGCTTGTGATTCAGTTTTTCTTTGCTTTATGAATGGATTTTAGTTCTTGATTTTGGCTTTCATCCTGTGTTATTTTTATTTAATTTCTTTCTTGCTGGATGATAGTTGAAATAGCAAGCAATTTCAAAGTTAAGAGAACATATAGGTTTATCAAAGTTCTTCTATTTCTTGGCTATAAATTTTGAAAATCATACCTTTGTCAAAAATTATTAGGATTTTCCCATTTACCTTTGTGTGTAGAAAATTTTATTTCAATAAAGACAGTTTTTCTACCTTGAAAGTATGTGTAAAGTTTTTTTCTTTACTGGAATAAGACCAAACAATTTGATTGCTAGAACAGTTTCTTGTCAGTTTGAAGTATATAGAAGTGAAAAAAACCACACTTTTCAATTGTTTAGTTGACATTAACACGTTAGTATAAAAGAGCAAGATTTAGGGATAGTATGGTCGAGGTGAGAAATGCTTATTTCATTAGGTACTTAAGAAAGTTTTCCTCTTTCTTTGGGGGAGGGGGTGGCTACTCAGAACACTGGAGAGAGTTAATTAGTTATAAATGTTGTCAGTGAAAAATAGGGTCGGGAGGAAGTCATGGTAGTTTTTTAAAAGGTGAAGAAAATATATGTGACCTTTGTACTTTATGAATAAATAATTAAAGGCAGGTACTTAATTTTGACAACTTCCCCTTCCCCCTACACTTTTGTTGTTACAGTCAACTCTCAAGTTAACCTGATAGTTGCTTTGCTCACTGGCGCTTACTTGTTGCCTGTGATTGTATTTGGGCATTTGAAGCTTTTCAACTTATCTGGCTTTGAAGTTAATGTTACAGATTTTGGGGAACAGCAAATATGAGGACATGAATATAGATCCTTGGAACTATAAAGTACTTGCACTCCCCTCCTTACAAGCTTTTGGGTTAAAAATGAAGATTCATAGAATAGATGATGTACACCATTTGATTATAAGATCTTACTTTTGTGAATAGTCACATAGATGTAAACTCAATAAAAGGAGCTGCATTAATGTTTTTATAGCTCAATTTAGTGAAGCTGTTTATTAATTCTCACTATTGGGAAATGATTCAAGTTTCAAGGTGAAGAAAGTAAGAGGAAGTTAATTTTTTAAATCTTTATTTTATAGTCTGCACAAAATATTTGGTTCCCTTCCCACTTTTTGAAAAATTTGGAAGCATGATACTTTTAAAATGCTGTGAAAATACTGGTCTGAAATGAATGGGGAAACTAATGCAAAATAATCAGTCTTCTGTACAGAGTTGATTCTTTGTAAATATTAGGGTTTTGGTTTCATTTCTGAAGGAAAACTATTTTAAGAAGAAAGGACGAAAGGACCTCTTTTTCTGATTTCACCAATATACGTGGTGTTTTTTTCAAATGGCTATCTCTGTCTGCCAGTGAAGGCATGCCCTCTGTATTTTCTTTAGAAACTTTACATCATAAAAATTTGTAAGTGGTGTTGAATATTTAAGAAGGTAGAATAAAGAAGTAGCTTATATTTTTATTTTACTAGCATTTAGTTCTTATTTTCATTTAACACATGCTGAACTTTTTGCTCTTCCCTGAATACTCTGTGTTCTTTCATTCCCAGTGTACCTGTTCTGCCTATACCTGGAATGCTAGTTTTTCTCCTTCCACCTAGGAAACCTATTCTTCCTTTCTAACCCCAGGCAAAGTGGTATAGCACTTTTCTTTAGTCCTTGTTCAACAGTCTACTTTTTCTTGAGCTTCTGGAGAACTGGAACTATCTACTTTTTGGCATCCTAGTACATATAGTGTACTGCTATATTCAGTACGCAGTGCCTGTCACTAAGTAGCTACTCTGCATAACAGAGAATATGAATGGAAATAAAATGGAAAAATTATTCAGGTTATCAGACATAATAATTGGTTGATGCTAGAGACCAAAACAGAGTCCTGAGTTAGGGGATCTACTGTAGGTCGTTTTCTTGGTGACTGGTAGACTTGATGTCAGTGACATTTATGTTCAGATTTAGAAAACATGTACAAAACCTTGTCTCCATGTGTTTGAAAAAATTATTAGATGTTTGATCCTGAAACTGACATTCTTTTTTCTTGTGATTTACTCAGTCTTTGTGATGCAAAAGTTTCAAGTGACAGCTAAGAAAACTAATTTTGTTTCTTTTTTTTTTTTAAAAAAGCTTGATAGTGCTTGATAGTTTTCCTTTGTGCC